TTATTTCAGAGTGGGGAGAAGGGCAGAGGGAGAGGAAGAAACGCAGTCCCCGCTGATGAGGGAGCCTGATGTGGAGCTCGATCCTAGGACCCTGGGATTATGACCAGAGCCGAAGGCAGACACTTAACTGACTGAACCACCCAGGCGCCCCTATCTTACATTTCTAAAATGTCTCACATAAAGATTCTACAGTCTCCCTTTGGCCATTACTTTTTTTCCCCCTTAGCTGGCAAGACTTGGACTCTCTCTTTAGGATATAGTCAAAATTATTCCTCCCTCCCCTTCTTTCCCCTCCCTCTCCTTCCCCTCCCCCTTCCCCTCCTCCTCCTCCTTTATTTTTTATTTATTCTAAGAGAGTTAGAACAATTGTCAATTTTTAAAAACTTCTCTTTGGATTTTGGGTGGCACTGGGCTTTCCAGGTAGACAGTTGTATCATCTGTAAATAATAGTAAATCTTATTCATATTTTTGTTCTTTTTATATCAGCAGAATTCCTTATTGAGTGAAAAATAATACTTGCTGAAATTATTTGTTCATCCGATCCCTGAGTATCTGTAGAGAACATCCATTCTGCTGACTACACTCTCCTTTTGTTCTGGGGACTATGTCCTCCCTTACGCTCAGTCCCTGGGCTTGGGGAAAAGACTGATGTCTACACCCCCCTCCTTCAGGGGTGAAACATATGACCTTAGTCTAGGTCATCTAGTATATCCTATTCCTCTGGCCACAGTAATCCATTCTAGACCTACTAGAAAGTTGGTTCTGATATTGAACCTAGAGGCAAGTACTCCATGGAGTGGCTTGCATCCATATTGGGTACGTGAAGACATTGCCTAAGAATGGAGCCAATAGCTGGGTGACGGACATTGGGGAGAGTATGTGCTATGGTGAGCACTGTGAATTGTGTAAGACTGATGAATCACAGACCTGTACCTCTGAAACAAATAATACATTATATGTAAAAAAAAAAAAAAAAAGATAGTAGGAAGGGAAAGATGAAAGGGGGGAAATCAGAGAAGGAGACGAACCATGAGAGACTATGGACTCTGAGAAACAAACTGAGGGTTTTAGAGGGTGTTGGGTGGGGGGATGGGTTAGCCTGGTGATGAGAAGTAAGGAGGGCATGTATTGCATGGAGCACTGGGTGTTATACGCAAACAGTGCATCATGGAACACTACATCAAAAACTAATGGTGTAATGTATGGTGACTAACAAAATAAAATTAATAAAAAAAAAAAAAGAATGGAGCCAATATTGAAGATGCTGAATTTAGAAAAGAAGAGAGAGAAATCAAGTCCTAGGTCACCCTGTTTGAGCCCTAGATCAAACTTCACCTGAGCCAGATCCTCTAAATTTTTCAGTTACATGAACCAATAAATTTACCTTTTTAATTAAGTTAGTTTGGATTACATTTTTCATCTTTGGCATGCAAAGGACTTTTAGTTGATGCAATATCTTCTGACAAAATTAGGCAAATTCAACTCATGTTGTTCCCATGGTTTGACAAATTACATGATTTCCCCAGCTAATCCCCAGACTCCTTTCTTCTTGCACTTGGAGTGACTCTACCATTGCAGCATACCCATCTAAATACCAAGCCAGAGTCCTCCTCCCTTTCCTCCAAGGACTCCTCCAGTTCTTTGCTTAAACCCAGCCCACTGGTGAAGTTAAAGAAGGAAGGGAACAGATGGCAACCTGATTCATATTGCTCTTACAGGGAATTAAGCCAATTTATTTTGGGGGTCAGTCCCAGTTCAGTTTCAGCAGTGAATGAAAGTTGTTTGAATCCATTTCTGGTTCAGGTCTGTAATCATCTGCAGTAATCCAAAGTTCTTCACAAGGGAAAAATATTTTGGAAGGGGGGTTAATATTTGTTCCAGTTTGAGAAAACTATGTAACATGGAATCAAGTTGCACCTGTCTTATTAGGACTTCTGTGCTAAAAGAGGTAGCATATGGGCAGGACAGGGAGGCGATTAATAGTATAGTTAATACTAAAATAATCAGCCTAGACAGCCTCCATAATAAGCAGTGTTATAAAATCTACTCCTTGGACTTGCTTTTAATATTTCCAGTCCACATCAGAACACACTTTGAAATATCATATCACATAGTATTGACCAAATTATTAAAATATAAGTTGAAACATTTTTTGAAAATTTTGCCTCCTTTAGAGGAACACATATTTTATAGGTGAAGCATTTATGGTCTCTGAAAATTATTTCTAATTAGTGTGACATTATGTCAGTATCTTAAGGTGCTAAAACTTAACAGTTTTCTGGAAAAATGTATTGAAGATCTAGGCTCAGCTTAGGGAATGTTGTCAATGGTATTGTAATAGCATTGTATGGTGACAGATGGTAGCTACACTTGTGGGGAGCGTAACGTAATGTATAGACTTGTTAAATCACTGTGTTGCACCCCTGAAACTAATGTAACATTGTGTGTCAACTATGCTTCAATTTTTAAAAAAAATCTAGGCTTAGAATATTCACAGGACCATTTTTAAATTGCTTCAGGTCATCTAATGGATATGATCTGATAGGAAGCATTTTTTGTTTCATTGCTTCCATTATAAATATATATGTATTTATAGGTAATAAATATAAATTAAATAAGTAAGTACAATTTCAAGACACAAAATGCTCAGCTTGTTCCAAAATATTTTTTGTTAGTGGGTTGTGTGCAAACAAAAAGAATGACAGATGCCATCCATATACTTTACAAAAACACCTCCTGCTTATGCATGTGTAAGGAGGACATTGGATTTGACAAGGTGCAAAGAGATGTCTTACAGATGGTACACATGAGGCCCATCAGGACAGGTCTTCCCAAACTAATGGAGCTGTAAAAGCAGTTGTCATGTGCATGTCTGTCACACCTGTTCTACAGAGAAATCACTACTTGTAAATATGGTCTTCAAAATCAGAGCACATGGCTGGCTGAGCTTAGTTTAGTTTTCTGTTAGTTTGAGAGAGACTATGACCACCAACATGGATTTCATATCTTTTTGTGACTCTTCTAAGACTTTTACATTTTCCCTGGCATTGTGTTATTTAAAGTTAAAGATTAAAATTCTTTTACTTAGTCCTTGAAGAAATAACCATAATTTATCTTATAACATTAAATTCATTGGCAATGTTCTTTAGAGGGAATAAATTTGTGTTCTGCAAAAGGGCTTGGATATACAGAATTTCAATGCCTCAAATGATGTAATTTTCTATAATATTTAGCCTGCCATTTTTAGTTTGGTGTTTGTATAATAGGAGATTTCGAAGAAAAAGCTAAAGAGAGGCTAATTTGCTTGGTAGTGCTTCTGTTCTTTTGTTCTTTTAGAATCTAAAATTAACCAACATCTGCAGTGTCAACAAGGACTCCATATGGCATTCAAGTTTGTACTTTTCCTAAATAATGCATTTGAGGCAATATAATCTGAGAGGAATTCTGAGGTGATAACGAATGGAATACCTCATATTGTATAGCACTTTATAGTTTCAAAATGATTTAACAACTAGGACCTTGTTTGATCCTCACAACAGTGTTAAGAGATAGGGGGTTCAGGTATTTCTTATTCTTGTTGAACAGATGAGAAGATGGAGGTTCAAAGTATTGAAGAGAAATGGCCATTGTCACAAACCTGGTGAGTAGCAGCATGAGAGGGAAACCCAAGCCATCTGGTATCTAATCACCCTTTCTACCATTTTACTAGGATCAAGTTGTTGACAACCCATTGTTAAAATAGCATGTTTTCAAAATAATAAATCCCACAACAACTCTGTAGGAAAAATTTTAAAAATTACTAGAAACTAACAAATGTGTGTTTGGTTTTCTAGAGTTTAATGGAGTCCATTTGTTCAATTAAGTTAACAGATGATTTCCACAGAAGTTCATCTATTTATTTAACTCTTGTGATTTCCTATTTTACTTACAAAAAAGAATTCCCACCAAAATGCTTTTTCTCCTTGTGAAATCATACCTCATAAATCTTTGTCATATCTAGAAAGTCTAAAAACTTTTCCTGTAAGAGATGTTACAACTGAGAGTGTTTTCTTCACAGCAATACATTGTCATTTAAGTCTACCTGAGTTTTGAAACAGTTCATTTCAGTTCCAACTTCTGTGAATTTCTGCAGCAGAGCAATCATTCAGAGTTTCTGGGATAAGAAAAAAAGTAGGTTGAAGTTAAAGAATGTATTGGAAACATAGCTTGTGACTGAGATATAGGCATAAATTTAGTAGGAACCCATTTTTGAAAGCATAAATAATGTTATTGCCAATCCATACTTTATAGAAATTTCTAGCTATGTAATATTACCATTTCTACTTTAAAATGCAGAGAAATTCAATTGCTTCCATTTCTTGAAAGTTTGAGGCTTAAAAATTATGAATGCTGGCATTCTTGAAGAGGAACACTGTGAGTTTGTAATATCGAAAAGGCACTGGCATTCTCTTACATTGACAGGCAGATATACTTCCAACAAGTGGAGACACAGGATTCTGCTGGCATAAGGAGCAGCCAGCAAGAATTTTAATCAGGATTTGGCTCAATCTACGCTGGTTCTGACTTCACAAAAGTGCATCTTCAGGAAGCACCTTCTACCAAGTGGATGGCAAGATGCAGCGTTAGAGGTTGCTGACACCAAAGCAACCAGAGCTCGCGCAAAACTTAAAATTTTTCTCCCCATTAGTTTCCTGGATATGTCTCAAAGAACTACACACAGAAAAGCAAGATTTAAACTTCATATTATCCAAAACATTCTTGTGACTCTAATCTCCTACCTACTCTATGTCCAGATTAGTGGAAATACACCAAACATTTTTGAAAAGGTCATCTAACCTAAGTAGAAGAATGTTATCTTTCCATGCATGAGCATACTTGGGCATGCAAGCCATGAAAAAGAGATACAGGGAGAAAAGGACAAGAGGAACACTATGGAATGTACTTTGCCAGAAACAAGTAATGGGGAGGAATTAGGGGGAGTTGGGGAATTTGGGCAGGAAAGCCTTAGAGAGGGGAGGGTTAAGTCATTGGAGTTGGTAGTAACTCCATCTGGCTGGTTGTGGGAATCTGGAAGGAGAGGCCCAAGTGTGCTAGAGGACCAGACTCATGATGGTAGCATTCAGAGTTAATCTGACAGTGGAGAACTGCAGTGTAGAGGCTGGGAGAAGGCCACAGTACGAGGAAGGGAAGTGCCCAAGGGACCATGAGAACCCCAGCTGCAGTTCTTTTTGCTTATTCAAAGAGATCCAGTTTTCTTCCCCCTTCCCGTCTCCACACTTCTGCCCCACTCCACCCTCGACACCCCACCCCCACCACAAGAAAAATCTGTGTTGACTGGCCCAAGTTTGTTTAACTGAGTCCTCCTTCACCCAGTGAATGATTTGTGGAGACTGGGGCTGGTAATCATTATTTAGCAGTGACTTCAGCATTAATCAATCAGAACTGGAATGATACAACTTTGTTCCCACTCAGCCCACTCACAACCACAACCTTTTTGTGCTACAGCAAAGTAACGTGGTCCCTTGGCTATCTTGCTGCTGATTAATGGACTGTTGGAAGGGCCAGTAAAACTCCCACAATACGTCTAGTGCTTTTCTGCCAGATTGACTTAAAAAAAAAAAAAGGCAGCCGATCATGTGAAACCATGTTAGCCAATACCTGTATTGTCTGTCTGAATTATAAAGCACAACAGTACATTTCGTTCTCTGCAATTCATTATTAGAAGAAAGAATATGAGGAAGTATTAGACCATGCTTGTATCATACGAGATAGCTGAACAATCCTGCACACTCCTGCACCGCCCATTGGAACATGTCATTTGCGCACTGATACAGTCATGATTACTCTCAAAATTAGATGCAATACAGCTCTCTCTTCCCCTCCTTGCCTAGATGCAGGTGAACAGTGACTCTCAGGGGAGGTGGGAGGACATGGCCTTGCCAGCTGATGCTAAGGACCCAAGACTTAACTACATGCAAATAACTCATTAACCTGTCCCTCCCAAATCACCCGCTCCACATACATCATCGCCATGAGAGGAATCAGGTTCCCCAAGGTCACCCTAGATGTCTGTGGACTTTGACTTCCTCCCTCCACAGACACCGTTAGGATGGCCTTTTGAGGCCTTTGTGCTCCCGGGAAGCTGATTTCTCCTGTGTGAAAACATCGAGAGCCAGGAAGAATGGAACACTACATGATTTATCCCTGAATCCTTCATCCTGCTGGATATGCCCCAAGGTGGAGTTATTCTTGCTGTCACAGATAATTTAGCCCTGAGTGGATCAACATATTTAAAAGAAGTTTCCAAATATGTCTAAAACTCTAGGTGCAGAAACACAAGTGCCAACTAACAAGAGCAATTTCGAATAGAACAGAGGTTGGAAATTAGAAAAACAAAGAGACACAGGATATAGCAGAAGGCCAGCTCTGTCAGTAACTGGTTGTATGCCCTCAGTCATTGTGCCCCTGTCCCAGTTTCCTCAACTCCAAAATAGACACTAAGATGAATTTGGTGAGAGACACTTTTGAGAAATGTCGACTTATGTTCTCTCTCTGTATTTTTCCCTTTCCCTTTCCCATTTTATCTGGCTTACATGTCTTTACCTCAGGAAAGACTTGGGGATTGGACTTCCAAGCTTTAGTTCCAAATAAACCCATGAGGAGAGGAGAGTTTGAGGTAACTTGTATTTTCCAGACTAAAGAGATCTGTTCTCCCAGAAGCAGCAAGGATGTCATCCTGCAGTACCCTCGCTATGTATGGCTCGGGAAGGCTGCATCTTTGCTCAAGAGCCCCTCTTTTCTAGAAATGCCGTTTGGGACTTACTCATGTGGAGTAATGATGGCAAGGGCCTCCAGTGATCCTAGTGCTTCTTAAGATGCCTGGTCCCCGCCAGATCCCTCAGCGAGTGTGGAAAAGATACTTCACACCTACCCGAGGTGGATTTCCTGTCCGCCCTACAGCACAGGGCCTCCAAGTTTAAATTGAATTACATACTCTAAAGACTCTTAAGAAATCATCAATGGTAAGATGGCCACTAGTTTAATTTGTGTCTCTTTATCATTTATTAAACTAAGCCTAAACAAGTCTTTCCTTACACTGTAGGAAATCCACTTTCTTGGGGCTGAATTCACCGAGGGTTTACTTTTGCCAGCCCTCCTTATCATTGCCTTTCCTGCACCTGCCCTTGCTGGCCTCCATGTTTTCTCATTTGGGATGTTTGACTGAGAAAGGCTGGTGGCACCTTGAAAAGCCTCATGTGCCTTCTCCCAAATCCCTGCATATTTTCTTTAAAGTCAGAAAGGAGTGTCTTTCATCCCTAAGTATACATATTTAAGTTGTCTGTGTTGCCCTGAGAAGCAACTTCAAGTAACACCACATAGCTAGAGGACCAAGTCTTTGGTCAGCTTCTCTGGGGGCCATGTGCCTTCTTGAAGTTGTTAATAAAACAAACAAAACAAAACAAATAAAAATTTTAAAGATCTTTTATGCAATTGTCTTTGTTATTACTGCCGTTGTTGGGTGAAGAGTACGTTTATTGCTTCAGGGCTGTGCCATATTTAGAAAGGGGCAGAATGTCAGTGCAAGGCAAAACCTTTCAGGAAAGGGGGCCAGCTTTTGGGATCTCTGAAAGCACTTACTGGACATAATTTCATGTGTGTTTTTCTTGGTAGCAGGTGTTAATTGCCATGTTCTTCTAAGGCCATTTTTTTGCTATGGCTGCTTTTCTCTTTAAATATTTTAGGCGGAAAAGTAATGTATTTTCGGTGTTGTGGTGGTGATGATGATGATAATAATGATTTGTAATTTAGAGAGTCTATATTCTTGATTCAGTCAAAATAATCTTTGAGTCATTTCATACTTCACTCCAAATAGTCTTTCTCAGAACTTGAAAAACAAAGTAAAATGGTACCCCAAATGTTCCCTTCCCTCTTATCTTTATAAATCCTTCCATATAGCCAAAAATCGCCATTCTGGGGGCTGGGGGAGGAAGCCTCCTAAATCTGGATTACCTATGCTATTCAAAGAACTAAGTATTTTGAAAGTTCTAGAAACAATAAGGCAAACATTCTTCTCAATAGAAACTACTAAAAGTAGTCATATGGTCTATCTCTTAAAGTGGAATTTTTCCTTCCATCTTAATTAAATGACAAATAAAAGGAAGTCATGCACAAGCTTTTGGAACAAAGACTATAATATAAGAAATGTAGTTCCAGTCAAAAAAGAAAAGAAAAGGATGTTGAAATATGGGAGCAAAATGAGGTCTTGACTCAAGTAGATTCTTATGCTTCGACCAAAAGCTGGAAGAATTAACAAAAGCTCTAAAGAAAGGTAAAGGAATGCAGACAGTGGAGAAAAGCAGAGGAGTGCAGAAAATAATAAGTGTATAAGGGAATAAATCAAAGTCTGGGATGATTCTTAACTAAAGTACTTGCAAATTACAGTTTTCAAATAAAATATGAGATTGAAAAAATTCATTTCCAGAAAAGGTGACAAAATCAATGGGTAAAAAAAGGCCTTAGTGAACTAAGAGCCTTCAGAGACAAGGTCAGCTCACTGGAGAGGAGTTGAAACAAAGCAAAGCAGGACAGAGGAGTGCTTTCACTAAAAACCATCATGGCTTTACTCTGTCCACCCTGTGT